GTGGATCATCTGCACGACATCCACAATTATGCCTGGCAACACCTGAAGCTTGCCAGTGACCGGATGAAAACTTGGTACGATAAACTGGCCAACTCCGCAGGTTACGACAAAGGCGACTGAGTCTGGCTCGATCGCCCAACCCGCAGAAAGGGGAAATCGCCGAAACTACAGGCATCATGGGAAGGTCCTTACAAAGTAGTGACCCGGATAAATGATGTGGTTTACCGAATCCAGAAGACCCCTAGGTCGAGGATGTTGGTTGTACATCTCGATTGGCTCGCGCCTTATCATGGAGCTGCTCGAGACGAGCAACCATAAAAAGGGGGAAGATGTGGCGGTTGGAGAGAAGAGAAACAGTAGAAGGACACAAAGAAGATGCTACAAGAACAGCCTCCAAAGAAAAGGAATGGGGGAAGCACGGTTAGGCTATTCAGGACGAACAGCCTTAAGGAGGGAGCAGTGTGACATGTTGACCCCTACCTCCCCAGCTGCACGTAGCAGTAACGTAGCGCTCGCGTAATAGGTGAGTAATCACCCCGCAACTCTTCCCGCGGTGACGTCACGAGTGGAGCTGAAGTGAGCCGAGCGGAGCCGACGTTAGCCGAGTCCTAGCATCCTGGTCGCTATGCAAGGCGAGTCAACAGCGATGACATCACCAAGGGTACCGCGGGTTGCTAGGCAGCGCGGGTAAACAGTGATTGCGAGAGACGACGGTAGTAACAGCGGTTACTTCCGCTAGCGTTACTAGCAACACAGCGCCAAGCAACAAGGGTGCCTATTACGTGGCCGTTTTCCATATTTTCCAATCGAGGCTACATAAGGAGCAGCGAAGGCTATCCACAGTGAGTTCTCAATGCAGCTACCTACGAGTTAGTTCCGAGCAAGCCTACTAGCCAGCGGCGTGTTACGAGTGAAAGTGTGTAATTCAGGGAGACTTGTATAGCTCCCGCGTTATTAATACGTGGAGACTCTTGAAGATAGTGTGAAGAGATTTGGTTGTAGGGTTTGTAAAGTGTGAAACCCGCAACTGTGTTATAATTAATTGTAGCCGTTATTTGTAGACTGTTAAATAAACCAATTAACCATCTCTACGGCGTTTTCAGTAACGAAACACGTTACATTGGTGTCAGAAGTGGGATTAGAACTTACACACGTGACCGACGAGATTCGATCTCAAGACACGTGACAATATTCAGACATCTTTTCTAGTTATGAGTTTTGTGACTTTGATAAAACGTCGTCCCAAATTCATTTTGAATCTGACATGTTTCGGTTATCCATGATGTCTGGTTATGAGAGACATATTTAAGTGTCTTATTTTCTTGTGTGCTTGGAAGGTAACATAGCTTGGGAAATAGTTATTTATCATGATGAAGTAATAAACTAAATGTTGGCTTTAGTATGTTTAATTATATGTGAAGTGTAATTAGTACTGCTTTTACAAGCACATTTAAGCATTTTAATTTCACAAAGGAAAAGATTTTCTTACTCCATTTCTAGTTACTTTCTGATATGTAGTATAAATGATGAAGTGTTATGAATTTGAAAAAAAAAAAATCCCTTGATTTTCATGGGTTTACATATTTCTAACCATTCTGAATTGCATCTGCCTGTGTATACACGTATATGCATATGCGTTTTGCTATTGCCTGAACAGATCGATAAACTTTACTCTTATTCAGTGTTTTGTCAGTTCTGGCTTTACTGGTTAGATGTATTTTTTTCACTTTTGGTCAATATTTGGTGACCAACAGTGGTCTACAGAGCAAGTTTTGTTTCAGGTTCAGTCATATATGAAAAGGAATGTGCAATATCTTCGCACTACTTTTTTTTTTTTAAATTTCTATATCATTTTGTGTTTAACAATAAATATATATTTGCAATGTTAGATATGGATTCGGGGCAGTCATGGCTCTTGGAACCTGCTTTTCAAATGTAGGCATATTAATGTTTGATTTGGTTTTTCCACAGAATCGGATGGAGGAGAGTAAAGCCTTATTCAAAACGATTATCACATATCCGTGGTTCCAGCATTCGTCAGTAATTCTTTTTCTCAACAAGAAGGATCTCCTTGAAGAGAAGATCATGTACTCTCATCTTGTGGACTACTTTCCTGAATATGATGGTATAGAAAGTAATCACTTAAAAAATTAAAAGAGCTTTGTTCAGTGGAAGGGGCCTTGTAAGATACTGATAAAATCAAGAAGACTGAAATAATTGGAACAAAATCAAATTTTTTATCTCAAAATGTTGGTTTCCTTCATTAGTTTATAATATATATAAAAAAAGGAAATATAGAAAATGCAATGGTTGTTTTGAATAATGTATTTCAGCGTCCTGTTGCAGTGACATATCACTTTACACGTTTCCAGATTTAACACAACTTTGTTTACAGTTACTCCTTAATTTAATATAATATTAAAATTACAATTAAACTGCTACATGTTTCTGCCTTAATTGGCCCTCCTCAGACAGCTGTTCATTTGTTGACATTGCTACGCTGCATTAGTTAATAAGTTAAAATATTCCTGTGTTATTGCATTTTTGTCCACATTAAAATACATTTGCTTGAGAACATCACTCTTTATCTTTTCTTGCAGTACCTTCTTGTAGCATTCATGTTTTTTTGTGTTGTTTTGTTTAGCCCTATGAATATCAGTGTGGTGGTGTTATCATTGTTATTTTTATGTGCCCCATTAGTATGGATGTTCCCACAATAAAGTGATGTACATTTGACTGGAGCAGCTGCATTGGAACATACAGACAAATGGGTCACATAAGAATATTAACGATAACAGCATCCTCTAATATTTATAGGGCTGACCAAAAAACACAAAAAACATGGACACCACAAGAAGAAAGTAGCGCAAAGAACGATGAAGTGTGGTGTTCTCAAGCAAATATATTTTAATGTGAACGATGAAGATGCAAGAACACTGGAATATTTTAACTTAAGATCTAATGCAGTGTAGCAGTTTCAACAAATGATCAGTTGCCTGAGAATGGTCAAGTAAGGTTGAAACATGTAGCAGTTTTATTGTAATTTTAATATTATTTTAAATTAAAGAGAAATTGTAAACAAAGTTGTGCTAAAGATGGTAGTGTGTAAAGTAAAGGGGTTGTTTTATTGAAGAAATCTCATCGGTTAAAAGTGAAAATGTCGAGATAATGGACATATTAATTGTGTAAAAGGTTCATTGGATTCAATAAGAACTAATTTTATCCATATTAATGTTACAATGCCAAGGAGTGCTTTTGCTTTTGTAAATATGTACCTTCAATGTAAGGCTACAAGGCAGTCAAATAACAGAATCATTGACTAGCAATTGTTTGCTTTTATTATGCATATTTTGCACTTTTGGATTGTGATAACTAAGTCAGTGAAGTAATTGTCTATGAACTGAGTGGTTAAGGTTTAATTATTGATGGGTGTTGAGGTATAGGTGACAGGATTGTGAAACTGATTATTCACCTGCATCCATTTCTGAGGTTTGAAAATGTGAAGTTGTTTCTCCTAGGGAGTAGGATGTGTTTTTACTGCAATTGACTGGTACAGTTTAGAAGAAAATACAAAAAGGAACAGAAATATTGGCTGAAAGAAATGGAAAGGAGTTACGGATTTTTATAATTTTTATAGAATGGGAAGTAGATTCTAAAGGGTTCTGACTATGGTGGATGACACACAGAATTACCAGTTTTTTGGACCCTTTCCGTCATCCATAATCTAGGTAATAGAGTACACGACGTTTCAGAAACTGGATCTGTTTCCATCTTCAGGTGAGAAAGGGAGACACCTATTCAGTTGGGCCCCTTAGAAAGAGCTAATCTGTCACCAGCTGAATAGGTGTTTTCATTTCTCACCTGAAGATGGAAACAGATCCAGTTTCCGAAACGTTGTGTCCTCTATTACCTAGAATTCCGGACAGTGGAAAAAGACCAAAACCCAGTAATTCTGTGTGAACATGGGAAGTGTTAGGCATCACCACTTACTTACACATCTGTCAGAAAGTAGTTAAGTAAGCATCATTAAATAAACTAAGAAGAAAGATATAATGTCTTCCTTAATTTGGGTGTTGATGGTAAATTGTGTTTTATGACTACAAACACTCATCATGTGTCACAAGTCAGTAGTATTTCAACCTGAAGTTGAAGTCTACGGTTTCGTTTCGTGTTTTTTCAGAAGGGTTCAGTTGATGCTATATTACACTTAGTATTAATAGCTTTCTGGATTTTGTCCATTGTCTGATATTCTGAACCAGAATAAATGCTTTTGGAGCTGGATTAACTCCTGATTTCACTTACCAGGTACTTATTGAGTTGAGTATGTTAGACAGTCTGGCTAGAAGGCCAGTAATACTATATTGTTGCATGCTGTTCGAGACAGGTCCAAAGCAAGACCATGTTGCAGCTCGAGAGTTCATCCTCAAGGTGTACCTAACTCAGAATCCAGATCCTGATAGAATGTGCTACTCTCATTTTACAGCAGCCACAGGTCTGTGGTACATCCCTCTTCTGCTGCAGAGTCGCAAGATATACTGTTGCTAGTTGCTTTTTCCATTTGTTTTCATTCATATTTGGAAGGCTTATATTGAAAATTGTACGTCACTGCACTGTGTGCTGTTTTTAAAAAGTAGCATTCCTCCTTGAGCACCCCTTACCATATAAGAGCATGATAAAAATTAGATTTGAAGCTTCCATGATGGCTGTGACAGTGAAGTGTTCTTAGGTGATCAGCAGTGTAATAAATGTCTTGGTATTGGGTAGTGGTCTGTACTTGGACAGGATACTGGGCCCCAAGAGAGGCATTGTTCGCACAGACAACACACAGCAGTGTCACCACATCAACTCCTGATGGTAGTGGCAGAGAAGTCTCTGATACCAGCTCCATTTTTGCACAGCTGATCAGACAAGATGACACATGTTGTATAGTAAAGTTATTTTGTAATGCTTCAAACCATGTGATTAGGAAAACACTGTAGTGAGGAAATAATTATATTGGCTCCCTGAAAAAATAGCAGAAAGTGCAGGAAAACGTAGGCAAGTAATGAATTCTTCTCACGTGAACATCATTTCAACAAGGAATGAGTTTCAGGTATTTTGGCTGTTCATACAAGAAGAGTTCATTGTAAGTGTATTGCTTATAGTTCTTAAGTTGGAACATGTTTTTCCAGTTCCATTTCACAGTCATCCTAAAAGGAAAAGAATTTTACTGTCAGAGGTCCACTGATGCAGGTTTCTTTGGCGCTGTGTCTTTCATGTTCTGTCCCATGTTATGCTATGCTAATGGTTACTTTCAGTAGATGGTAGTTAATTTTGTTAATGAATTACTGATTCACAGCCTGGGAAGTCATTGTACCTGTATTAACAGTATTGCAAGATATACCACAAGGCCTGCCAGATAATGTTGCAGTTAGGTATGAATTTCTGGTGCTATAACTACTGGGCTACTGGTGTTTTGCATCTCTCAGGTGGTTCCAGGAACAGCTTTGGTAGAGCTTTGTGTTCTCTACAACATTTTTTTTACATATATTTTGTTGTACAGTGATCTTTATGATTCATTAAATATTTTATTAAAAGACAAAACCAGTCTTGCTAATGTCATGATCTGTATAAATAATAGTTTTATATCTGTGATTAAAAAGAAATTATGTTAGAACTCCATTGACTTGAATATTTCCTTACCAGAAGCTGGGAGAGCTCAGTATAGCTATGGGCTGGATGTCCTGGGTTTGATTCCTGGTAGGGGCAAGAGATTTTCCCTGCTCCAGAGCATCCAGACTGGCTCTAGGGCCCACCTAGTCTCCTATCTGGAGGGTACTAGGGCTCCTTTCCTAGGGGTAAAGTGGCTGGGGTGTGAAGCTGACAACTTACCTCCACCTAATACTGAGGTGAAGAATGGTGTACCTACACCTAAACTCCCCTGTAAGTCTTAATGGCGTGGTGCTTAATTGGTTAAACACAGGGACAACCTTATATTTTTTTTTAATATTGTACCTGAGACTTGATTTCAGTCACACCAGTAGTTAAATTACGAACATGTTTAGTTTCATGTAACTGTTCTTTCTTGCTTGTTTGCTTGTAGGCCCCCAGAGGGATGCAATTGCAGCTCGTGAATTCATCCTAAGGATGTTTGTGGATCTGAATCCCGACAGTGAGAAAATCATCTACTCGCACTTTACCTGCGCAACAGGTACCAACTACCAAACATGCCACAACACTGCACGTTTGCAACTTCGACCATAAATAAGTTCATTCGAGTTCCTGAGCAGTGCACAGCCCCCCCCCCCAAAGGTTTATGATAAGCAGTCATAGAGAAAGAGATTTACTGAGGTTTACTGAAATACATGTGATTGGTTCTATGGTAGGAAAACTTTGGCATGATTCTGTGTTCCTGATAAGTGCAGAAATTGCTGTCCTTTGTACTAGATGTTGGTGCATGCATTGGTTTGAAGCATGATGCCACCATTTCACAAAATAGAAGTGATATTGTAATAAATGTATAAGAAAGAATACTTACACTTCAGACTGCAGTGTAGCTGCTGTGTTTCTACTTGAAGTCATATGACATTTACTGCCTTTTGACCACAGACAAAGAATATTTATATCCATTTTGTTTGAAAAGGAGAGTGATTAGTGCTGAATGCAAGGCACCAAAGAATATGAATTTATAATTCCACCTTTAGAAATTGTGGTAAAATAAAACTTTTTTTTTAATGCTAGTGGGGTGGGACTAAGTCCCTTGTACTGTGGCCACTTCTGGCCTATTGTACCAGCCCCAGATGATAGGTAAGGGTGATTGTGGAGCAATTGGTGGAATGAAGATTGGCAGGGGAAACACCGAAGTACTCGGAGAAAAACTGCCCCATCGCCACTTTGTTCACCACAAATCCCACTTGATGAGACCTGGGANTCGGTTTTATATTTGGTTGTGGGGAATGTCAAGGGAGGTGTGTCACTTAATTATTTGCATCTTCACTGACTGCAGAGTCTGATAACAGGTGGCACAGCACACTGTTCCTTCCCCATGGTGCTGCAGCTAAGGGTGATCTTTGGCCTCCTGAACAGTTTGTCTCCATTCTTCATCTTTCTTCCACATCCTTTCACTTTCATTTTACAAAGATTATCATGGACATCCTCCAACCATCTCCACCTGGGTGTTCTTATCTTCCTTGTCATATTATATATATTGTCACGTGTTTGGTGTATACGCGACAAATAACTTCAAGCCATATTTGATATAGCGAATTTTATTTCACATTCGCTCTTGCAATCACACAGTTTACAATCTCACAATTACTGCCATTGGCAGTATCACAAGTACTAGACTGCAAATGCTAGACTACAACCGAAAGGTTGACTGCCTGGCTAACTCGGAACTATCTCGCAACTGTAGCTCGAGAACTGGAGAACTGGAACTAACTCGTGAACTCGTAACTAAGTTGAGAACTCACTGCTGGCTAACACGGAACTGACTTGAATAGTCTTCGCTGCTCCTTATTTAGCACCATTCTGGACAACACAGAAAACAGCCACGTAATAGGCACCACTGTTGTCTGGCGCCATGTTGCTAGCAACACTGTTGGGAGTTGTCTCTCGCAACCACTGTTTACCCGCGTTGCATAGTGACCAGCGTGCTGGGACTCAGCCCGCTTCGGCTCCGCTCGGCGCGTCAACACTCCCAGGGGGGGGGGGTCCTGCTAGCGCGACACGTCACAATATATTCTAACGTGTTTGGAGTAGATACTTCCATGGCAACGCAGTAACAGTGGGCTGCTGCGTAGACAATGCCGAAACAACGAACGCGTTTCCCCGGAGATGAACAACAGAAGGCTGTTGAGTACCAACGGATGAGACGAAACACGTTACCGCTGTAATCTATAGAGATTGTTCCCAAAGCAGCGGATTGCCGAACAGGTGCAGGTGCCCTGTCAGGACCGATAAGGACATTGAATTCAGAAAGTTGTGGAGGGAAAGAAACGACTTTTTAAGGGTCATGTAGTACACCAAGAACCCTGACTCCAGTTTCATGTAATTTTTTTTGTGCATGCTGTGGCTTTTAATAGTGCAATTTCTTTCCTTCCGCCTCTGTCCTAATCCCCTGTCCCTATTGGTCCAGGTGGGGCACTAACTACACACTTTAATTCCTTGGTTCTTTCAAAACATAAACATATATATGCTCTATCTCAGCCACCCTGAAGACTGAGGCAGCGTACTGCTGATACATTGGCAACGCTGCCAATATGCAGATGGTGTAATCATCCAAAAACGGAATTAAAATTATGAACGGTGTTTGATATGTTACAAAAATGCAAAAATATTGCCAGTACCCAGAAAATGTATTAATGGTCAAAGGTTTGCAAACTGTGCAGGTGATGGCATGTGATTTAATGCTATTTGTTGTCTAATGTTTATGTTTTCTTTTCTTTGCATGCTGCTGTATTTCTGGAAATGGATTGCAATTGACTTCTGTTACCGTCCTTATTGTTATGCTATTTGTGTCAACATTATGGATTATAAATATACCATGGGACTGTTAAATGGAGATTTTGTTGCATTTTATGTGTGTTGCATGTAAACAGATACTGAAAATATCAAACTTGTATTCTGTGCTGTTAAGGACACTATAATGCAGAGTGCATTAAAAGAGTTTAACTTAGCATGAAGTGGCACACATGTTGTCTGAAACACTTTGAGAAGACAGTTGTTGTTGTTTCCAGTACACTGTACTTCACAGTTACCATTTTTGTAACAGACTTTATTCTTCTTGCTTTATATATTTCTGTGTATTTAAAACATGAATTTTGGCATGTGTATGTGATTTTATAGGAATTGGTGTGTGGGTGCTATGAAGCTTGCTTCTAAACAAATGCAGTTGTATTTTGCATGGCTCATTTATACGGACGATGGTGCATATAATAAGAGAAGACAGGGAAATGAAACATTGTATCACGAACAAATTGTTATATCTTATGTTGTGTGTGAAATTGATTTAGAATATTGCTTGCTGTGTTTTCTGTGATCATGTTTAGTTCTGAAAATGCAATACAGTGGAATCTCCGTTTTGTTTCTTTGGGAGAAAGCAAATTTGAATACTAGGGTACAAGGACTGGAATTTTAAGAAATGAACACAAAATTAGAGAAGTCAGGAGAGCTCAGTTGGTATAGCAGCAGGCTACAGGTTGGACGGCCTGGGTTCGATTCATGGCAGTGCAAGATTTTTATGCTCTCCACGGTGTCCAGGTTCACACTTCGGCCCACCCGGCCTACAACGAAGTGGGTACTGAGAGCTTTTTCCCTGGGGGAGGGGTAACACGGCAGGGGCATGTAGTGACCTCTCACCTCCATCTAGTGCCGAGGTCAAGAGAAGTAGAGTTGTACCTCCACTCCCGCATATGTCTTCATGACATAATTAAGCACAGTGACAACTTTATTCTTTTTAGCTTACACAAAACAAGAAGATATGAGTGTTTCTGTAGGAATGGGCATAAAATCAGATACTTGTGTATCTGCTGTGGAGATTAAATAGTTTTGTGTAGCATTGCCTGGATTTTCTTTTTGTTCGTCATTAACCTTTATCATCTGAGTTAATTTTTTTTTAATTTGCTTAGTGGGGGGCGAAGTCCAACTGGGTCCACTCGGCACAGCGGCCACTGATTGGCCTATTGTAGCCTGCCCCCGGGTGATTATGATGGAGAATTTGGTGGAATGAAGATTGGCAGGGAAAACCAAAGTACTCGGAGAAAACCTGCCCCAGCGCCACTTTGTCTGCCACAAATCCCACTTGACTAGACATGGGCCACCACGGTGGGAAGCCAGCAACTAACCGCTTGAGCTATGGCGCAGCCTAATCATCCGAGTTAAGGGACAAAATCTCCCGCTAGTGGCTCAATTTTAATTTGGGGAGGGTTAAGGGTATTTATATTGAATACAGTGTTTTGGACCCCAGCATGCACTAGCACTGTCGTGCAACTCATGGATAATAACGGTCAGTGTACAGTACATTTGTAGATAGTCTTTCCTCCAACTGACTGTTGATTGAACTGTGGTCAGATATTGGAAATACAGTGACATAAGGAAGGACTTAATCTGTCACTATTATATGGCTTTTAAATTATTATGTAAAATACAAGTTACATGAGTGATAGGGAATGGAAATTTGATATAACCTGGACAAATTTCACTGATGTTGATATATTTGTAAAATGTGATAAAGTTGGTGAGTTTGCTTGAATATATTTTGGATTATGTTGTAAGTATATATGATCAGTGTGAATAGCAGAACAGCTTTTGATATAGTGTGATAAGATAGTTCTGCTATACTAACAAACTAATGTCAGGGAGCAGAGCCCTTGAGAACCAAATTGTTGCTTAGCTGCTCAAGTTACTTTCCTTTTACAGAACTCAAATTGCATTCCCAGCACATGACTAAGTCATCTTCAGCAAATAGCTGAAAACTGTCAAGAATTTCACATATATTTCCTGCATGACCATAGGCCATGCCTACAGCAGCTAGACTGACTTTGTTTATTTGCTTATCAATATAATCACAAGTCTGCAATCTCAAATTAGTGTCACCGAATAGGTAAAATGTTTGAGAATATACATGCATGGGTATACTCTGTGTGTGGTCCCATTACATATATGTAAATGGAAATGGGCAGGGCATGTAGCATGAATGGGGCTGAAGCGTACTGCATATAGGATATTGGTGGGAAAGCCAGAAGGAAGGAGACCACTAGGAAGACCAAGGACCCAAGTGGGTGGTCAGTATTAAAATGGATCTCAGAGAGATAGGATGGGATGGTATGGACTGGATCAATCTGGCTTAGGATAGGGACCAATGGAGGTCTCTTGTGAACACTGTAATGAATCTTAAGGTTCCATAAAATGCTGGGAAGTTCTTGAATAGCTGCACAACTGGCAGCTTCTCAAGAAGGGCTCAGCTCCATGAGTGAGTGTTGAGTGAGATATGCATGCATACTGGTAATATTTATTTGTCACACGAATAAATAGTCAGTAGTGTTTTGTGTGAGAAGTATGGCAAGAAGTAGCAGATGAGTGGTTGCAGCTGCATTTTGCGAGGAATGGTGATGCACTGCAACTGGAACCCTGTTATAAGACATGTACACCTTTCAGGCCTTATCTCATTTAATAGTGTTTGCCAAATCCACTGTGCATTCTGTTGGCAACGGCTATCTGCAGTGCCTGTCTGGCACTCTGTCTATCTTATGCAACATAATAAAATAACTGAAATCTGTTTAAACTTTCGAGAACTGGAAAACCTTGTAAGAAGTACACAAAGTATAAATTAATTTATTTAAAGGGCACTTGATTGTATGATGACCATTTATGTTAATGAGAAGAAGAGAAATGAATAGACAAGCAGGAACTACATACTTTTGTATTCATCATCATCATCAGTAATCTGTCAAGATGACAGGTCCACAGTCTCTTCCAAAACAATTCCTCCACTTAATGCGATCTAGAGCTTTCTCCTTCAAATGACAGTATCCTCTTCTGTCCCCAAGGTCATCCAGCATCTTCTTACGTCTTCTTCCTCGTTTTCTTGTCACTTCTATCCGCCCATCTATCTTTCCTTCGATAGCTTCTTTTAGAAGGCAGTTTCTGCGTAAAACATGACCAATCCAATTAGCCTTCCGTTTTCTTATTTCATGTAGGATAT